GACCCTGCTCTGTGCGTGACAAGGTACGGAACCCCAACCCCCCTGATGGGCCCTGCTTTGTGTGTGACAGGGGACAGCGCCCCAACCCCCTGATTGGCCCTGCTCTGTGTGTGACTGGGGGTGGCACCTCAACCTCTCCATCGGCCCTGCCTTGAGTGTGACAGGGGGCGGTGCCCCAACCCCCCAATCGACCCTACCCTGAGCGTGACTGAGGGTGGCATCACAACCTCCCAATCCGCCCTGCTCTGTGCATGACAGGGGGCGGCGCCCCAACTCCCCAATCGGCCCTGCTCTGAGCCCAACCAGGGGCTGCACCTAAGGATTGGGCCTGACCTCTGCCACCCGGGAGCAAGCCTAAGCCAGCAGGTCGTTATCTCCTGAGGGGTCCCAGACTGCAAGAGGGCACAGGCCAGGCTGAGGGACACCCAGTCCCCTCTGAGTGCACAAATTTTTGTGCACCGGGCCTCTAGTTGATTAATAAATAACATGATATAACAACAAAGACATAATACAAAAAATGATATAAAAACAACATTGATAAAAACAATGACTGATAAATTGATTAAACTTATTCTAATATCTCCCTGTATACCACATTAAGAGTAAAAACACTTCCAGAGTGCTTGACTAATTTCCCTTGTGATGAAGTATTTACAAGTTTAACGTCACACACTCTTCGAACTCCAGAGAAAGCAACATATAACTGACCATGTCTGAAAACGGGTTCAGGTAGGGATATTCCTACTCTGTCTGTCCTTGTAATTTATTAATAGTCATTGCAAATGCTGGATCACAGGAAATGGTCTTCGAATTAATTTAAATGGGAGGCCAGTGTCAGATGGGGACAAATATCACACATGTGCGAGTCAACATTTATTTTTAAATTGCCGGTGCATCAGCCGGATGGTCAGATGGACGTATGGTCAGTCACTTAGCCTTTTATATAGAGAGATGTAAGAATACTAACATTAAGTTGTGTGGGATATACTGAAAACAGTATTTAGGTAAGAAATTAGGAAACTGTGGCCATAATTCTTTCTTATTTTTAATCCTTACCTAAGGACATGTTTTCTGTTGATTTCTAGAGAGAGGGAGGGATGGAGGGAGGGAGAGAGAGAGAAACATCAATTGACTGCCTCCCTTACACATCCTGACTGGGGATGAACCTGCACCCTGGGTATGTGTCCTGACTGGGAATCAAACCCACAGCTTCGGTGTATGGGCCAATGCTCCAACCAACTGAGCCACACTGGCCAGGGCAACTGTGGCTCAGATTCTAAGTATGTCACTCACTCTGGCTTTACGATGGTGGATGACTCTTTCTTGGTCTCAGTATCTTCATTTATAACAGGAGGTAATTAGAATATATAACCTTGAAAGTCTCTACTGGCTTTCATATATTTTCATGTTTGACATAATATTTCTTTTGATAAGCAAAGTTGTTACATTTTACTAAACTATGAAACTCTCAGCAATTGAATTGTTTGCACCTCAATTTAGTCTTAATAAATCTTTACCTACAACATATTTGAAATAGAGATGCTAGAATGATAGGCTTGGGCAATATAAAATATTGAATATATTGGAGAAGAAAGCCAAATGGGTAAGCCCTTTGCAATCATAGAAATAGATTTTTGTAGCAGAGTCAGTGGCCTGAAGAAATATGTTGATCTCATCACTTAATTCAAAAACTGTATCTCTCTTCTCTGATTTCAGTGTTAAAAAAACAAAACAAAACAAAACAAAACAAAAAACAACTTACTACACAGTTCTGCATACTCCCCTTTAAAATGATGTAAGCTAATGGCTTAGATTCAATTTTATTCAAAATATTCATTATTTTCTGTGATGCTAAATCAAGGTCAAGATGTAAATTATTAACACCGGCTGTTCTCTATGAATAAAAAGCACTTCATGTATTGGCAAAGTTGTGACTTCTTATTTGAAATGCACTTTTTTTTTTTTCTTTCTGCAAAACCAAAACCAAAACAAAAAAAAACAGTGGTCTGTTACCAATTTTGATTTCAACACATCTTGTTCTGACACATCTATGTTCTGATTCACACAATATTGTGCATTAAGCCAGAACACTGAAATCTGCATGGGCTTCTGGTGGGAAATAAACAAGAAGTGATTCTCTACTTCTCCCTTGCACATGCTCCAATTGTCCAGATATTGTTCTTTCATGGTGTATCCAGCTATAAATCAAAATATCATTATATCTAACTATGTGATAGTAATTATTCTTCCCTGTTGTAATATATTATGTGATATCCTGCGGAGTCATTTGAAAATAGAATTTTGCCAAAAGTTCATTCTTTCTTTCCAATCATAATATGTGATATTCGTTTTGAGACTACTTTTGTAAACTTCTAGCCAATAGTATTTATTGTGATTATTTTTGCTATAAGGAGTGTAACTTTGAAAAATGCCCTTTTTTAAAACCAATTATTTTTAGTTGTAGTGTTTGCTACTATTTTTGTCTCTACTAATGGGCTTCAGTGAATCACTAAGGAACCATGCATTTTTTATTTTTTTTTTTGGGAAATGGACTTGTAACAAAATATAACAATAATAATAAAATCATAAACTTAATAATAGCAAACAGCATGTGAATGATATAAAGTAAGCAAGATTAAATGCACCTTGATAACTGAATGGTGGTGGACAGGAAACACCCAGTGAAGTTCAGCAAAGGGTTCTATGACCTTAAGAATGTCATTATTATTAAGAGCATAAATGGGATTTCTACAAAAATCATGATTAAGTCTACATTTCAAATTAATATAATATACCTGAATCAAATCACTTTTAAGTCTGAAACTATTGTCATTCCATATAATGAGCCACGAATGATTGACATCTTTTCAGAAACACTGATCTGGAAAGTAAATGAGATGGGATTTTATTCCCCTCAGCAAATTAACGTTTCTGTGAAGCAGCGTTAAGCCGTAGGGGTATTATGAGGAGTTCAATATGTCAAGGGCCTAGGAAAGCACCTGGCTTATAGCATAAGCACTCAGTGAAGAGTAATTGTTGCTGCTATTGTCATTACTATTTTTCTAATGGACTATCTATTAATCCATCTCACATCTTGCTTATATGAACTAAGAAGAATTGTGACAATTGTTCTTTTCAGGCCTCATCTCTTAATTTTAAATTTTGTAGTATGAGATTAACTCTACGCTAGTGTTATATAAAACAAAAATGGAACATAGTCTGATTAAAAAACAATAGACTGATTCCAAAGATCTTTAAAAAAGTCTTTAACTAGTTTGAAATTTAGTTTTCCTTTCTATAAAATGGGAATACTACTGATATTTACTCTGTCTATAAAACAAGTTTACTATAAGATTGAAGAAAGCATTTTGAAAATGTTCAAGTTCTATACAAAGGTAATGTAAAAGCAAAGTGATTTTTATTTATACAAGAATATGTATAGTTTATAAAGAATATGTATAGTTTGTACCTGATGAGATTACTTTTATTCTATATTAATAACATTTTTCTTTTCTTTTTATACCACATTAAATTACTCATTTTTATCTGAACAATGACAATTGCATATTGTCATGAAGTTCATTAATATGACCTGAAAGTGTTTTCCAAATCTTTTCAAGCTTACAGAAATCAAATATGGGTTATGCAGACACAAGAGAGCATATGTCGAGGTTTCTTTTTTTCCTTGACAATTTTAAGATCTCTGGCTTCCTTTAATAAGTTCCAGACCCATGCATACCTTTATCCCTGGGGGTAGGGAGTGGGGAGTGGAAGCTGTTGCTTAAAACAACACTTGGAACAGGAATTGTTTGATAAGGCCAATGGTTAGAATATTTGCAACTTCTTGTTTTGAATTCCTGTGATAACATCAGCTTCCAAAGATTATCTGACAATTTGTGGGAAATCTAGCAGCAATAAAAATTGGACAATCAAGAGAGATTTTCTTGAGATGGCACATGAGGTAGTAAGAAATGAAAGAATGTGAATGTGGAAGGTCTGAGTTGGCCCCATAGTATAGTAAGTGTTTTTTAAAAATATATTTTTATTGATGTCAGAGAAGAAGGGAGAGGGAAAGAGAGATATAAGTATCATTGTTGAGAAAGAATCATTGATTGGGTGCCTCCTGCACACCTCCTACTGGGGATTGAGCCTGCAACCCAGGCATGTGCCTTGAACAGGAATCAGCTGTGACCTCCTGGTTCATAGATCGATGCTCAGCCACTAAGCCATATCAGCAGGGTGGTCTTGTTACTTGTTAAGTCATAACAGGCATGGATCATAGGGCTGAAGTTATGTCAGTGCTATTCCTTCTTAGCGGTGCTTTTTTCTTTCTTTTTTTAAATCAGTAGCTATTTGTGTTATGAATCAGACTCTATTGACTTCTTTATTGAACTGTACATGAGAAGCCAGCACCATTACTTCTGATATTTAAATGTATGGAAAGAATTGTGTTATTAAAATCAGATCAATATCTTCCTTTAAGTCATGCAGCACTTCAAGGACATACATAATATGTCTCAGCACTCTGCCTCCTGAACTGGTTCTCTTTGCATTTGAGTGGTGAGAATTACAATGGGCATGCAGATAATCACCTCTCATGTTTGTGTCATGCTTGGAAATGTGTGCAGTACGTTCACACACACATCCTCACTTCCTTGTGAGAGCCCTATGGGAAAGCCGAGGTTTCATGGTTTGTCCACTCAGACACTGAGAGAATGGCAGAGCAGTAGAGTTTTCTGGCTCTAAGGCCAATGTTCTTGCCTACATGTCACAGCTGCTGTCTGTTTAGATTTGAAGAGTTCTTTGTAGCCACAAAGCTATAAATTCTAAGTTTCCATTTTAAGGCCCTCATCATGCCACTGTTCATGTCTTTTTTTTTTTTTTTTTTTAAGGTATTTTTATTGCTTTCAGAGAAGAAGGGAGAGGGAGAGAGAGATAGAAACATCAATGATGAGAGTCATTGATTGGCTGCCTCCTGCACGCCCCCCCACCAGGGACCCAGCCTGCAACCCAAGCATGTGCCCTTGACCGGAATTGAACCCCGGACCCTTTAGTCCACAGGCCGACGCTCTATCCACTAAGCCAAACCAGCGAGGGCCTGTTTTATGTCTTTATCTTTTCTGACATGTGGTATTTTCAAGCTACAGATTATAATTCAGTCATTTTTCCCTTTCTTTAAGAGACGGGAGCTTTTGGCCCGCTGTGTGTCTGTTCTCATTGGACTCTGATAGCATGGGAAAGGCTGAGTGGGAGGATAGCATTTTCAGTAAGCAGTAGCACAGTGGCACAGGTCAATGTGGGGTCACCCAAAAGCTTGTCCCATCTGAAGTGGACTGCACACCCCCTCTTTCTTTCTTGAGCCCTCTGGGTAACATAATACTCCTGATTGTCCCTGTCACATAAAGGAAATGAGAGTTGTATAGACCTATATTATTTGTCCAGTTCTCGATGTATGTTAGTGTTCCGTTTCTAAACATTCTATTTGTGCTTGGTGTAAACATTGAAGGACATTGCTGGATTTCATTCTCTGATCCAATAAAGGACTATGTGATTTTCAGAATCTAAGATAGCACATTGAAAGAAATGGTTCACAATTACCCATGTTTTTTGTTGGCATTGGTTCGTTTTGGTTTTGGCCTTCTATGCACTATTTACATGTCTTTCCCTTGAGTTGTCATAAATCATAATTGTTTTTTAATTTTCTCCTAAGTTGACATATTTTCATGGACTTGGTGCTCTCTCTTATTGTGGTTCATTATGTGGCCCAAGGGAGATTTCAACCAAATCTGTGCTCTTAAACTTTTGGATGGGACATGTTGTTCTTTCACACTGGAAAATTATAAGCAAAATGTTAAACACGCTATCATTTTGAGGGGGAAATCTTTATGTTTTATGGACTTTGAGAGAGTTTGGTTTTGACACACAGTTCAATATCAAGTCCTTATGTATAGCTTTGTAACTTTGGGCAAGTTATTTCATGTCTTTAAGAATCAGTTTTGTCATCTGGAAAATGAGTATAATAAGTCTCAGTTTTCCTGTTTGATAAATGAGCAACTTCTAGAAGTATGATGAGGATTAAATGAGCTAATTCACATAAAGTGCTTAGGTATGTCTGGCAAGTCATAAGCACGAAGCACTCATTAACTTTCCTATTAAAAGCTAATGGATCACACTTTGGGAAATCCTGGTTCTATTTTTTTTAGTAAGTTTTCAAAATTGTGATAGTCGTTAGGGTTGGCTTGGCTGTGGCAGCATTGTCCTCATATAAGCAAATGATTGTGGATGATCAGTCAGGAAATCCAGATGATTGTCCTGCTCATTCCCTTTCTGGGTGCATGACTTTGGACAAATCATTTTACATCTTTAAATCTGATGTTCTTATGGTGAAGAAAAGTGGCATACTTATGCGTGGGCTCCTTACTGTACAGGTTTATCTGAAGGATATTTCTTTATATTGGTTGTGTAAATACTTTGCAAATTGCAAAGGACTGCATCCACGTGGCTTCTAGCTTTAAAAAATTACTATTTGGGGTTGGACAGAATATCAGAAGAACTCAGCACCCTACTGTTGTTGGTATATTGTACTGAAGCCCAACTAAACTGTTATATCAGGGCTATTGGCCTTGAGTCAGCCTTTCCAAGGCCACCATTGTCCCAGTGCTTATGGAACTGTGCCTGGATACTGTGGAAATTATAGGGAAAATGTGAATCAGTGTGCTGGTTTAGTTGGCTTCTAAATTTGGTTCACTGTTTCATAAATTAGGATCTGTCTAAAATGGTTCTTGTTGCCACCAGCAACCAGGGTCACAGAACTGAAGGGCATCAGATAGGCAAGATAAATGGAAAATAACTTCCCAAAGTAACTCCTTTTGCAAGAATCCCAAGGCTAGTTTCGGGGCTGAAGATAACTAAATGGGAAGCTCTAGGCTTGAGATTTCCTGCTTGCAACTGATAACAGATTTGGATATTGATGTGGACATACAACCATGCCTTTGAGGTCTTCTACTTATTTTCACAAACAAAGGCCATACAACCGTGCATTTGAGGCCTTCTACTTATTTTCACAAACAAAGGCCATACAACCGTGCATTTGAGGTCTTCTACTTATTTTCACTGTGTGCTCATAGTATCTTAGTGTGTAATGTTAGTATTCTTTAGCAGTTTTCTGCTGTTGTGGCTCAATATTTTTTTTTCTTAAAGTTGATGTTGAGAATCATGGACCATACATGAGGCTATGGTCCATGATTTTGCTTTCCGGGGTAGAAGGAATAGCATCAGTATTAGATTGCTCATTAGCATTTTCTGCAATGAAATGTATGTAGCTCCACAGTTACAGACAGTAGAATAGAGATTAACTTTCCAGATTATTATATATATATATATATATATATATATATATATATATATATATATATATATCAGGTTGTTGCCATTGTTCTGTACCAATGCTTCTGAAATTCGAAAAATTAATCTAAATTACTTGGTTTTTGCTACACCATTTTTCTTCTTGGTGTATTTTTTTTTAAAATCATATAAAAGGAAACCTAAATAACTTCACTGGAATCTTTCAGTGAACAGTGTTACCTTATAGCATTTAATCTCCCATTTTAATTGAAGATTCATGTGATGAATTTTGCAAAACTTTACAAAAAAGTCCACCAGCTTTTCATGTATTGCCAAGGTATCTACTGTTAATCCTAATGATAATAACATTAAACCAAAACAAAACAAAGCAGACAAATGTTCCTACTTCTTCAGTCACTTATTTTAATTCCCAAGCCCTATTACCTTCTCACCAGAGCCATTTACTGATCTTCTTGCTCTTCTGTACACCTTCCTGGATGACTTCAGCTTCTGGTTTGTGGTTTTATCACAGTCCTTGATTTTGTCCAGCTACCAACCTCAGTGAATTTTATAAGCATGGCATTGAGAGTATGGAAAAACACTGCTTTGATAGTTTTTCTCTAATCTTCTCAAATTTCTTGATCTGATTTTGCCCTTACTAACTACCTTGTGGTTCTGAACTTCCATGATGTCCTTCCCACCCATCTTTATTTACTTTTCTATCCAGACCAACCCCATGGCCTGTGTTTAGCCATCTACTTATATAGAGGCAATGGGCATTTGCATTGCACTAAAGGTTGCAATCACTCTATTCTGTAACTTTCCATCTTGTCAAGCTTTGCAGTGCTCAAGCCTTGTTCTATGAACACTGCAAACAAAGGCCATACAACCATGCCTTTGAGGTCTTCTACTTATTTTCACTGTGTGCTCATAGTATCTTAGTGTGTAATGTTAGTATTCTTTAGCAGTTTTCTGCTGTTGTGGCTCAATATTTTTTCTCAAAGTTGATGTTGAGAATCATTTATAGTCCTCAAATCTGTAATCCTTCATTCTCTGCATGACTTACCCCCCTACACTCGTAAGGCAAGTTTTAATATGGAAAAATATTTAGAGGGGCATTCTGGGAAAAAAGGAGACAAGTGCATGTATGAGACACTAAGATAGTGAAATCAGCAGGCATTTGTATCGTTTTATGGAGGGGAAAGTAAAGGTAAAAGAGGGGGATCAGAACTGACCCACAGACTTAGAGCCTGGGGAACCGATGGATTGTGATTCTACTAGTATGAATAAAAACAAGAAATACGAGAAAGGCATTAGAGATGAAAGATGTGATTTTCCTTGGCTACTTCTGGTCCTCTTTGCCCTTTGTAAAAGTCTAATTATTTGTACTTAATTACCTTAAATAAAAGAGAAAGTGTTATTGCTTGAAATGAATGAGCACATACCAGAAAAACTAAAAATATAATAAAATTAATAATAACAATAATAATAAAAGGGCACATACCAGAAAGATTAAAGAGTTTAGGTCCTGGCTTCTAGAAAGAATAATCCTCTTAATAAGTTAGGTTGAAGGGCTCTAGTGTTAGATAACTAGAACAGCATTCTGCCTTTGGAAAAATGCCATCAATCCTTTGCCCTTCCTCTTATTTTAAAAAATAGCCATGGAAGCAAGATGCAGCAGAGCTTAATGGGAAAATTTTCTAGATTTTATGCCTTAAGCACCAGCTATTTTGCTAAGCCCACTGTCTCCTCCAAGAGTTTTGCTAGTCAAAGACTGACAGAGATGGTTAGGAAGTGACATAAAATATGGGTGTTATTTTAGTAGCAACTTGCCCCGAATGTCCCTCATATACAATCTCAGCTGAAACATTTCCTCTTTGATAGAAATACAGCATGGCTAAGACCTACTGGAAAAATATTTTTAGTTCAACACCTGGCTGCACATCCTAAATGACCCGTTAGTATAAACTGGATTCCAGGAGGTTCCTAAGACAAAGCTCAGGTTCCATGCTCTCTTCCCTTTTCCATGGTGTTTTCTTTAGTATCTCAGCTTCTTTGTATCCCACCTTCCCCACGTCACAGAAATGCCAGAACCTAAGAAACAGATGATTTTCCAGCATCCTTTTGCTCGCATTCTGTCAGAATCTCTGCCCGACTGTGCACTCTTTGCAAACATCCTGCAGCGTCATTCTTTCCATAGTGATCCAAGTAGCCTGTTTGTCAAAGGTCTGGCTCCTGTGACATTTCCTTTTGAACTTTTGTAGGTTAGTATTTAAAAACAAAACAAAACACCATTCTGGGATAGGTTTATAGGCTAGTGCTAAACACCCTTTATAAGCACTGAGATGCATCTTTCCCTAAGCTAAATGGTCACTTGCTCCGCACCTGTTGTAACAGTGCTTTCTTTATTTTCTTCGCCAGGCTGGGAAGTAGCCTGGGGTGGACTGTTATATTATTTCATTAACTATGAATTTGGGGGAAGCATGACATTGAGAGTATGGGTTCCTTGAGTAGTTCCTATTAAGGTAACAAATGTGCTCACTTTGTGTTTCTACCTGGCAAGTGTGACTCTGAGAGCCACCTCCATCAATCTGAATGTTTTACGCCAGACAAGAGGGCAGTCAGCATATGCGAGCTTCATGCTGTCTCTTAGCAAACATTTTCTAGAAGGCAGATTTGTTTTCTCAAATCAGAATTAATAATACTAAAACCAATAAACCTAATTTTGAAATTACCTACTGCCTTTTAATTTATTTGTGGCTGATATTTATCTCCATTTGCTCAATTAAAAAAAGAAAACTAGCTTTAATATGTAATTCATTTATAGAACTAGCATCATACTAGTATAGTAAACATAACAGAATCCATATCTTGAAGGTTCATAGCTTTGAGAGGGGACAGGCAGACACGTATTTTAGTATTAAAAATAGTATGTGAGAAAGACTATGAGAGTACTGACCAGTAGCAGATGACTGTGGGTGAGCCAAGGAAGACCTCTCTGGGAAGCTGACATTGAAGTTATGCTTTAAATGAGAGAGGTCCCCAGACAGAAGACACAGGTCCGGGCCCTCCCCAGAAGAGGAGTAACCTGTGTAAAGACTCAGAGGTGTTTAAGAGCTTGATGAGGAATTCTTCTGAGTGTATAGTCCATTTTCTAAGGTAATAGGTGGTACAGTGTTTTTGAATCTATAATATGCTCAGTGAGAACTGCAAAAACTATATCCATAAAATGTTAGTCTATTTACCTGATTAATATTTTGTTTTTAATAAGTACTTTTTTGTTGTTGTTAATCTTCACCTGAGGATATCTTTTCCATTGATTTTTAGAGAGAGTGCAAGGGAGGGAGGGAGGGGGAGAGAGAAAAAAAAATCAATATGAGAGAGACACATCAATTGGTTGCCTCTTGCACGCTTCCTGACTTGGGGCAGGCGTGAACCTGCAACCCAGGTACTTGCCCTTGATCAGGAATCGGACCCGAGACCATTCAGTGACTGGGCCAGGGCTCAGTAAGTATTTTACTTAACATGTTCTTTCAGTGCCTATTATCTGTAACCCCCCACAGGAAAAATGAATGGAAAGGAAACAAATAGCATCTTCTAAAGAAATTTCCAACTATTTGAGGTCATAGTGATATTTATTAAGGTAAGACACACGTTTGGCCTGATGCAAACAGAAATAAAAAGATGCTGTTGGGGCACAAAGGAGGGAGCCGTTCTGAAGACTTACCCATAAGCCTTAGATATACCTACCTACAGAGAGGACTCATTGACTTCATATTCTTTCCACTTCATGGCACAGACACCAGACCACAAGCCTTTTCCTTCACCCACCACTGAGACTTTGCCAGGCCCAGAAAGCTTCCCCACACAGGCCCCCATTCATCATTTCTTCACTCTGTGACTGAAATGTGATGAGGTAGCGGGCAACACTAGAGCTAAATATGGGATCGAAAACCCCAATTGCACTAGGGTGGTAGCTTTGTGGTAGCTGAGTCTTTTTCAACAGACCTCACAAATTGGACACCCATCTTGTCCTGCCCAGATTCTTACAACTCCATGGGGTTGGGAAACCCCAGCCTGACAGCCAGCACTTGTCTCCCAGCTTCTGACGTGCTTCCCCTCACATGTCTCAAAGTCTCTATGGCTTATTCCTATAAATTCTCTAGCCCTGCACTGACGAGAGAGAGGAAGAGGGGAGGGAGGGCATGGGGCATAATGTAGCACAGCGGTTCTCAACCCGTGGGTCGTGACCCCTTTGGGGGTCGAACGACCCTTTCACAGGGGTCACCTAAGACCATCGGAAAACACATATATAATTACATATTGTTTTTGTGATTAATCACTATGCTTTATTTATGTTCAATTTGTAACAATGAAAATACATCCTGCATATCAGATATTTACATTACGATTCATAACAGTAGCAAAATTACAGTTATGAAATAGCAACAAAAATAATTTTATGGTTGGGCGTCACCACAACATGAGGAACTGTATTAAAGGGTCGAGGCATTAGGAAGGTTGAGAACTACTGATGTAGCATAATGTAAGCACCTTTTAGAGTCAGGACAGACCATCCACTGGTGCTGTCTCTGATTTGAAAAGCAGAAGCACAAGATCCCATGGAAAAAGATTGGCCTGGGAGCTTGGGGTTCATCCTGTGTTGCTCTTGTTTCAAAAGACTCCTTTGGTAATTTTCATTAGCTTCAACCTCTGATTCACTCAGTTGGAACCTTCTTTGGTAATTTTGTCTGAATGATGGTGGCAGAAATCCTAGGAGACAAAGAGTTAGATTAGAGCACATGGTTTGTGGAGCCCCGGGGACCTTGGGGAAGACTTTTAACAAATCCAGGTCTCATTCTTGTACCTCCCACCCCACCACTCATACCCTCTGAGTATTCAGGATGGTGTAACTGTAGCAAATTGAAGGATTATACAGGTGAGGATCAAGCCCTGCATGTTCCAGGTTCATTCCTGAATAAACCTACTACAGAGACTGTTTTCCTGGCAGTATATATGCAAAAATGCTACCTATAATTTTTCATATTAATAAAAATGAATTTCATTAATAAACTTTCTTTTTCCCCCTCAGTTTCTTATTTTTTAAAAAGTAAGAAAATCTCCAAGCACAGGGATCTTTCTTTTCAGTCTTCTGATTGGCTTCATATGTTGTGTTAATTTTCACCCCAATACTTCAGTTCTCAAGTAGACACAGTTCTTATCTTTCCGTCTCCAACTCTGACTCATTTTGTTTATAATCAGTCCAGTCACAAGGGAGAACCACATGTTTTTCTTACACATCAGTCGTGTAGAAAGAAGCACACACTTAGTTCGCACGTATCACTTTTCAGGTCAGCAAAGAAATATGGAAATTTTGAGAACTTAATGAATAATTGGCTTTCTCTCCCCTTTTCCCAAGACATCTCAGAAGTTTCTCATGTAGTCCTGTACAGATATTTCACTCAGTGTTTCCAAGAGATTTTACCCAACACAGGATTATCCAGATGTAATATTAGAGGTATTAATTTTCTGAGGAAATAACATTTTTTGTGATTCAAAAAAAAGTAAAGGGGATATTCATTTTAAAGACCTTTTCTAAAATGGCTTTAACTTTTATGCTTATCATCAGATGAGACTTTAGATCTATTGAAATAAAGATTATTTCCATGTGTTTCATATGGAATTTTATATTTGATCGCTGTTACATTTACCTTGAACTAAGTCAAATTGAAAATCTAGTACATACATTTTGGAAAAGAAAAATTTTCACAGTGCAATCCGTGTGTTGAGAAGTCAGAAGGCAATTACTTTTACAAGCTTTTTAAAAACTTGGACAGGTGCTTTTATTTCTAATATTTGTTAATATGTGAAATATACTAAGGCATCTTACAGATTAGGTATCTGTGAAACTGTGGGGTGGTCACCTCTGCCTTTAATTTATAGTAATTAAGATAATTTTTGTCTTTGTCTTCTTTCTTTACTCCCTTGCATTATTTTCCCGAACTCATTTCCTACCCAAGGATCATCAACATCAAAATTAACAAACACCAACAAAAACTGGCATCATTATGAAATTTTATAGAACTGAATTTGGAATTATAAATCAATTCCTCATCAAATGAAGAGTAATGTAGATTGGTGGCATTGACATTTTCCTGAATAATTTTATATTAAAACCAATGATGCAAATGTGTAAAAAGCAGGGATAGAATTTTAAAAAGTATTTTTATAGAGGTAAATTAGAGGGCTGAAAAATATGTGTAGGAAGGAATTTACTCTACCTGCTGGCACTTGTAAGGATGTGACTTGATAAGAGGAGGTGAACCTAACTGGGTCTGGATAGATGAGTGAGAATTTGCAGGATGGAATAAGTGCACAGACTATCATTTGGGATGGCAATTTACTTACTACTACTAATTTCTAACTGCTACTCAAGTTAAAACTTATGCTCCTTAACATATCCAACCTTTCCCACAAGCTGCCATGCTACTGGATAGTGGGGTCAGAAGTTGGGTATGGAGAGATAATAAGGTACTAAAATAGGACAGTGGGTTTGAGGAGTAATAGGAGGCAGTTGGGTCCAAGACACATTAGAAAAGTTAAGAGTCAAACAGATTTAGTTTGAAATTGGAGAATGACTAGTTGAAGATGACTTCAACATTTGTTACTTGGGTGATGCCATTGATAAAAATATACAGTTATAGAGTAACAGGTTTGGGGTTGAATTTAGTGAGGTCAGCTTTGGTAATTGTCTTTGTCTGTTCAGGCTGCTATAACAGAATACCATAGACTGGCCTATAAACAAAAACAAACTTATTTCTCATAGTTCTGGAAACTGGAAGTCCAAGGTCAATCAAGGCACTGACAGAAGCTGAGCCCGGTGCGAACCCATGTCCTGGATCTTGGATGCCCGTCTTTGGCCGTGTCCACACGTAGTAGCAGGTGAAGAGAGCACTCTGGGGTCTCTTTTATAAGAGGATTAATTCCATTCCAGGAGCGTCCACCCACATGACCTAATCACCTTCTAAAGGTCACTCCTCCAAATAGTGCCACATTGGAGATTAGGTTTCAACATAGGAATTTTGAGGGGACACAAACATTCAGTCTTCCACAGTAATGAAGAATGAATTGTGTCTAAATCTTTCTAGTATACTTTACTCAATAGAACATTCCTATCTCTCTTTGCTTGTCCATTAAAAAGTATTACCCTGAAAATTTACAAACCAGACTACACATAATATTAATCTTGTAAAATTACTGGGAATATATAAAACTGTGGATTTTTAGATTTGAGACCTAAATTAAGGAGGAACTTATTAACAAAATAAAGGTACATCACATTCTTATGATCTGTGTCAATGAATGGAAGGGGGCTTTTACAAACATTAAATATAACAATAATTCAAAAGTCAATTTTGGTCGTAAACATTAGTATTTTCTCCCTTTAGGTTTTCTAATCTGTTTCAAACAAAGGGTTAAAAGTAATTGTTATTGAACAGTGAAAAATGTGCTACCACAGGGGAAAATGTAGCCAGTTCCCCTAAGAGTAATAATTCTAAAGAGCCATTTGTTTACAAGGAGTGTGCTTAATCTATTAGACTGTGTGGAGCTGTAAATGGTTAGATAACATGTGCCTGAACTAGTCAAGCAATTGGAAAATCAGTAATTTTTCTGCTGACAACACTGTTCCTCACTTAAAAGCTTGCATGTTTAACCATAATATAGCCAGAGATT